GAACATGGGTGACTTGTCAGGTGGGAGGAGCGGTGCTTCATCTAGAGATCCTTCCAAGAAATAATATTTGCATGCAAAGGTCAACTGTCCCTGGAACAGGGTCATGGAGGTCTTGTGGATGCTGCAGAGTCTTTCCTTCTCTTGTCTAAATCACTCCGAGTCCAGATGGATCAAGTGGTCCTGAGCTCTGTCCTTTCTGCACTGCCACCTCCTGATTCCTTCCTCCAGTGTGCCATGGGCACTTAGTCTTTAGGCTTGTCCTTTCTCTTGAAGATATTGTGAACTGCAGATATTTCTTCTTTAGGCACCTCCTGGAATTCTCTGAGTACTTCAGCTCTTAAGTGATATTTTGGTCCTTTTATGGTGTCTACTAAAATATTTGAAACCCTGCCTGGTGTGTGTCTTGGTCTATGTGGAGGTGCAACCCTGAACAATGGACATTTCAGAACGTTTTTAATGATAATGTGGAAGAAAGTTGAGGCTGGGGCTTGAGGACCACAGGCTCATGGCAAAAAGGGTTTCAGAACACAAATCCCCTCAGCCTAAGCTAGCCAGTAAACCAGGATGCGTGGCTATATCGCACTCCAGTCCCTCCCAAAGTCACAGCACCGTTCCAATTATCCACTATTGTTCTAAAATTGCATTTGTCGAAAAAAAAGTCAATGAACAAAATGTCCATGAACAATACTGTCTCCTTATCCCAATACAATACTGTCTCTAGCCCAGTTCTTCCCGTAGGATCCCAAAGCATGATTGGATGGGTCCATCTGGTCCACCTTGTTTTACCAATTTTTTTGTCAATGGCCACTGCTATGCAGGAGAAGCTAAAAGCTTTCTAAATTCTCATGGGAGCCAATCCAAGTCCAATAAGAAGTTCTAATGAAGAACAGAGAAACTGAGATTCTTGGGAAAATTTGTTCAAGAAGCTTGGTGCAAACGTTTCAATTTAGCAAGACCCCCCTTAGATAACCAGAGTGTCACAACCCGTGCCAGGAATGTTTTATGTCCCTCTCTCCCAGCCAGAGGGAACATGGAAGCTTCTAAAGGGCTTTCCATTCCAGTGGTAAAACCACTAGGTTTTACCCCAATCAGTGGTTCTACAGCCACATTAATGAGATCTGGAGATGGCACAAGTAAACCCTGCTGAGGTAAGCTGGGCTTTTCATCTGCACCAGCTCACATCTCACTGGTTGGGCATGTGGGTGGGGGGAGCCTTGTAAAAACCCTGCAGATGTTTGTTTTTGAACTGCACATTGCTAATTACTGCTGGGCTTCAGTTTCACTATTAAACTCACTTTGCGGAGAGGACGCCTGGAGCTTCACAGCTCTAATGAGTGCAACCCAATGAAACCAATTACCAACCCAATGAAACCATTAATCTGATCAGTGCGGTCAGGTCTGCAGGTTCCTTACTGACCTGGTTTGTATGGTGGAAGGAAGGAAGGGAGGAAGTCAGGAGTGAAAAACTGCCAGTTTTGGAGGCAATTCAACATCTTCTGGAGCGAACGACCTTCTGGAGATCAGATAAACCATCCGTTTCGGTCAACTGTAAGAGTAAGCTGGGAGAGCACCTCAGAAAATAAGATTGCAAACCCTGAACTCCTGCGAGGGGCTAGATCAGCATTTAGACTGAGTTGTTTCAAGTACTGTTTACACCCTGGCAGTACCTAGCCTTAAGCGCAGGACTAATTTTGTGAAGGAATGGTTTTGAAGGGTATATCAAAACCTGTTCTGCTTGTCAGCTGAGCTCTAATGATCTCTCCAGTTTCTGGGGATGAGTGTTCTGGCACCTCCTTCCATATGCAATTACTCCTGTTTAAGTGGGAGTGAAAAATCTGGTCCTGGATTCCAGACGTCCAAAAACACAGTATTTTGAAAAAGGATTAGCATCTGCTTCCTTCCTTTAGCAGATATATGGTCCAAGTTTCATGTGCCAATTATAGATATTACACCAGCATTACATTTTAATGGGAATCACCACAAGATACTTTTGCTAAGACTGTGCCCAGAGACTTCTTAATTCTTGAGGTTCCAATGTTGAGCTTAGGTCATGAGAGGAGAACGTCATAAGATGAGACTCTCTTTATCACGAGCATCTTGAGGCAGGTAGTACAAGCCAGAACAATACTGCAAACATGCTCATCACGTAACACCGAAACAAGGTGCTCACTGACACCCTGCGACAAGACATGGCTTGAACCTCCAAGGATGCAGACGCAAAGAGCAAGACTTCAGGTAGGAAAGAAGGAAATGAAGGCCTCAAAGAAGATGACGATAGGTCAGTTGTCATTAAAGCTGTTGGGACGCCTGTATTTCAGTGTTGCCCTTTTCTCAGAAGATGCATCACAGGATGCACGTGCGTTTTACAAAACATCCCACAGCCAACCTTGGGGCACAAACCCACGGGAGACCTCAGCTTCTTCCAGATGGACTCAAGGTTCCCTTACTGTCCTGGCTCCTAAATAAATAAATATTGCCCTCTACAGGTGTGAGCCACCACTTGCTACCTGAGAGGCTCCTGAGTGTTGGGCTAGGTGTCAATGTCATACCACCAAGACCTCAAAGAAGAACCTGTCAGGCCAGGGATGCTCAAGACACATTAGATACCTCCACCTAGTGGGAGAACAAAAGTTGTACCACGGAGGTGCAGAGGTGGAGATATTTCTCCCATCTTGACTGATGGAGTTTGGGGCTATAGCACTCTTCACCATGCAAAGATAAAAAAGAAAATCCCTTCTCATTTTCTTTGGCAAAAAGCTTTGAAATTAGTCATGGTCTGAATTGGATAGACCTTGTTCTATCTTTACTCCTGGGCTTCGTTCCAAAATTCCTGGTGATTAAGGGAAAAAAACCCTAATGGGTTGTGATTATCCTGGGAGCTCGTCTTTCTACTCTCCCTGTGCCCACAAACAAGGGAGTCACAGCAAACAACTGCTTGGACATGGAAACACCATTAAGAGAAGAGAATGGAGAAGATCTGGCATATATTCATCCTGAAGAGGCTCTCCACTGGCGCAGCACATGGGAAAGCTCCGGCTTCTGCACCAGCCTGAGTGGGAGGAGGTGAAGGTGGGAGGGAAAACGTGCCATCTACAGCACGAGCTGGTCTGCTCATGGGTGCTGTCCTGCAAAAGCACTGCTGAGCAGTTGAGACCAGCCCCAGGGTTGCACCAAGCGGCATCATCGGCCTCTTGGGGACTCCGGGTCAGCAGAGGACATGGGGACTCAGGGGGAGAGGTGATCTGAGTCAATCCACCCTTTTCTGTCTGTAGGGCTGTGAAAAAACAAGCTCTAGCACTTTGGGTATCAACACATATTAATGGGAAAAAAACCCTTTGGAATCAAGACCCTCAACCTGGTAGGTTGCAAATACAGAGTCTCTTCTCACTTGGAAGGACTCGAACTCTCCTTGTGCTGCCAAGAGCAAGGCCAGGCAGACCCCATGAGATCCCTGCCTGCCCCAAGGCTGCAGGAGCACCATGAACATCGCAAGTCCCCATCTGCAAGCTGGAGTGTGGGACATTCGGTGGGAAATGCAGGAGAGACAAACCAGAAAAGCAAAGCAAGAACATAAGCAGAGCAGCTCCAGGCCAAGGTCCCTCCTCCAAGGTTCCTGCTCTTCCAGCTGGGATTGCTATGGAGCTGGCTGATATTTAAGCAGGTGAGTTAGACACTGAGGGCTTCAATCATTGCTGTTCCTCCGTGTGTTTGTGTAATTGATAGCGCTGTCAGGAACCCGCAATTAAGCTAGTTGTCTTTCCAGCTGCTTCATACCCTCAATTATCTCGTTCATGGGGCTGTGGGCAAGATGTTCCAGTGCAGAATATTTGCAAATGATGAGGTACGAGAAAACCTTTGGCATCAGCTGCTCTTGGAGACAGAATGCCAGCAGGGCTTCTGGTGAGCAGATCTGCTTTTCAACAAGCTTCTTGCAAAAGACTGCGAAAACATAAGTCCTCCAATGGTCTCAGAGAGCAAGAAGAAGTCCCTGTAAAACTCAGGAAAGAAATGAGCAAGTGAGGCATCACCCTCTTCCTGGGAATTTGAAACTTTCGATGTTAAATTGCGAGGAACGCTGAGCAAGTTTTGGACCGATGGGGAAGTCCAAGAGAAGGATGGCTGAAGAGCAGGGAAAGGCGTTCCTTGCAAACCTGAATCGAAAGCCTGTGCACTTCTGTTATCAAAGGGAGGCTGGAAAGGGGCCACGAGGACCGAGCTGCAAACTTGGCTCCGCGCCGAAGCACTGGGAGGTTCCCAGCAAATATACTAAACTTATTGGCTTCTCATTCTGCATCTGCCAAGCAAGCCTAATAAATCTTTTATTTGCCTTAAGATATCCCTTGAGTTTTCTTTATGATCTCAAATAGGAAGGATTGAAATGAAATGTTTTGCCTCTTGTACCACAACAGAACTGTGCATTTCCACTCCCAGTGATGACTCCCAACCTGCAATCTGCCTCCTGATGTGGTTTGTGGACACGTGCTGTCCTTGTCCCTCCACGAAAAGCAGAATTTTGGAGACTCCCAAGGGAGAGGCTCCACAGAGAGCAGACAATGCAAAACTCAGTTCTAATTTGATGTTTTTCGGAGCATTCCTCTTCAATCTACCGTTGACAGAATGGGAGATGCTCTTAAGGTCATTTCTGACCTAAACTGTAATTGATGAGAGGAAGGAGAACAAATTAAAATCACCAAGCCCAGCCTCCGCTGTCCTCCAAGCTGAGTTTGCAAGCAACGCTGTTTAAAAACAGAAAAAATTCCACAGGATTTCATAAACATTCCTGTCACACATTTTGCATATTGCAGCTCGTGAAGTGCTGCGAGGCAAGGCAAACCCCCACGAAAACCCCAAATTATTCTCCTCCATCAACCAAGCCCAGCTTCCGAGTTGTGTATAAAGGAAAAGCTTGTGGATGCCAGAGCAGAACTCCCTCTTGGAGCTGCCTGCTCCCTCCCGGCTGTCCCGTTTCCCTGATTTTTGCCTCCTCCAAGGATCCCAGCATGAGCCAGCAGCTGTCAGCTGGAAGATCTCTTCATAGACAAAAGTCCACATCAGTTTCTGCTGCGAGCAGCCCAAGATGCTGCAGAACCAGCATCTTCCCCCCAGCTGCATCATTTGGGACAACATATGGAGTATGGAGGAAGAGCAGCCCAAGTCTCCAGAATGAGGATGGATATCGACAGATTTTCTCCAGCAGAAGAGGATGGGGCTACGGGGATGTCCATTGCAGCCACGGCGGCACTCGTGGGCGCACGGGAGCCGGCGTGGGCAGGAGCTGCAGAAGGGAAGGTCTTTGCCGGCTGCACGTGAACAAGGACCTCCTGCAGCCCCTTTGCAGGAGGACTCACCCTCAAATCCAGTGCACCCAACTGCAGGACCCGAAGCAGACGAGGCGCCTCAACCAGTTCGCCCATTTCGTTGACAAGGTGAGATCTGAGAAGAGACACAAAGAAGCGATGAGCTTTAGGTATGGAGGGAACCTTCCTTTTTCACTCAGCTCGTGGATTCCTCTCCTCCTGCCCTCACCTTGCAGGAGATGGCGCACACAGTTCCCATGCCACGAGCTGGGTGGCAGCTCTCCAACACGGTGCACGTCTAGCTGATAAGGTTATTTTAATCTCTATTTGTGTGCTTGGGTAAGCTGCATCTGTATTTATTTTTGACAGCACAAGGGAGCTGTTCCTCCAAGATCTTCTGCTCTGCTTCTGCACTCTAGCACTGCATGGAGCTAGGCCTTGTGGAGCGGTGTTGTCTTCTCCTGACAAATGGTGATTTCCACTATCTGAGCACCTATGCAGATGTATTCAGAAAGCCCACAGTCTCTGCAGCTACAGCAAAGGCTGCGTTGCTGAAGGCTTCCCCAAGGAACAGGAAAGCATCAGGCCGTGTTTGCCCTCGGATTCCTCGCTTATGAAGATCACCCTATCTCCCTTTTGTCCTTGTCCCCCTCATTAGGAGCCCCTGGAGCACTGACGCAGAAGACACGATGCCTAATTCCTCTCCCGTTCACCTGATCCCTGTACGATGCACCTAAGCACGTACCTGGAGAGGGTGGCTTTGCCTTCTGGTTGCAGGTACGATGCCTGGAGCAGCGCAACAGGGAGCTGGTCACCAAATGGGACCTCCTCCACAAGCAGGTCACGCCGCGCCAGAATAACCTCAAGCAAGTCTTGGGGAACGTCTTTCGCAGCCTGCAAGGGCAGCTGGACTTGCTGCTGCAGGAGAGGGGGCAGATGAAGCTTGAGCAGAACCACAAGGAGAAGCTGGTTGAGAAGCTGAAATGCAAGTAAGTGGGTGGAAACTCTAAGAGGCAGGTGGACTCTCTTTTTGTCTTTCTGAATGATCTTCTCTCTAACAAAAAGTACATTCCAAAAGCAACGTGACCCCTAACAACACCCCAAAATAAGGCCTCCAACCACAGCAGGACCTGGGAACGAGTCTCTCTTCTTCCCTGACAGATGTGAGCAAGAAGTGGCCAAGCACACAGCCGCCAAGAAGCAGCTCATGCTGCTGAAGAAGGTAAGGAATGTGGACGAATGGAGAGGCTGGATTCGGAGATCAAAGGAGTTTCCTCTTGTCTCTCCCTTCCACAATAAGAATCAGGTCTAGAGAACATTAGAAGTCATTAGACAAATGTATATTCAGAACAAACACATCACAGAGCATTGCCAGGGAGGACCAGGCCTCTGCCATTTAGCACAGCAATTGCATTTAAGTCTAAAATGACTGCTCATTATTCCTAGCACCCAAATCATGATATTACTAAGTAAGAGTCCAGCAAAACTATATGTGGGACCCCTCAGCTGTTGTGCTAGGGACATCCGACCTTCCAACTCACGTTTGCTAAAAGCAACATCTTACTCAAGAAAACATAGGGAAACTGCCTGTGGTCTCCATCATTTTCGCTCCTAAGTGCCTGGGAACTCTTTTAGGACGTGGACTGTGTCTATCTGACCAAGGTGGAGCTGCACGTGAACCTGGAGATCCTAAAGCAGGAAATGGGGCTCCTGAAGTGCGTGTTTGCTCAGGTACGGATCCTCCTGTCCAGCTCTTGCTTGTCTGTTCCCATTCCTAACAGCCACTCCTTATCTATATTGACTTATGTCTGATTAAACTAATCCATCGGGTTCCCTCTTGGAGGCAATGGGACTCAAGCTGCAAGTCCGGTCACAGCATGAGTGGTGGCTGCAAAAAAGCTCTTGGTTGCACTGTTACTTCCACGGAGGTGGATGAAGATAAGGACTCAAGGGAGGAGAGGTTCCTGACTGCTTATTGCCACTTGCAGGAAACTGCTGAGCTGGAGAGAAGCGTCTGCGGCACGGCCGTCGTTGTGCAAATGGACAACAGCCGAGGTCTTGCTGTGCAGGGCGTCCTCAAGAGCGCTGCGCGCCGCTGCAAGGACATAGCTCAGAAAAGTAAGGCAGGGTTGGATGCACTGTATGGAACCAGGGTGAGTTGGAAAACCCAGTGACCTCCTGCAGTTCTGTCACTGGCAAAACCAGTAGCACAAGGATCCTGGAAGCCAGAGTTAATTGCCAGCTCTCTCGTTTCTCACTGCCAGCATCAAGAGCTTGAGGAGGCAAAGGGGAGACATTACAGAGAGCTGAAGTCCCACCAGCAAGAGGTTGAGGAGCTGAGCCTGGTGATGCAGAGGCGGCAGTGTGACCTTGAAGACATGAAGAAGCAGGTAGGACGGGTCACATTCAGCCACTGGATCTCCTGGATGTAAGATCCCAAGTCTTCCGGATTTCCAGGCAGTCCTTTTGTCTTCAGTGTAGATGATTACTCAGATGGCTTCCACTGTGTTTAGATCTTCACTAAGATCTTAACAGTGCCAGAGGATTTATCTGATGGACTGTTTTCTGAGGGATCAATTTGATTGTTGTAAATAATGAATTGCACCAGATTACATCATTGGTTAGCTACAGCAACTCGGACAATTGCTCCAGCAGGAATTCCAGCAGGAGACAATGCCTCTGCCACAGGCTCAAGGCATCCAATAAGTAAGGTAAAGCTATGACTCACCAGTAATCCAGCACCCCTAGTAAACAAATGGTATAATTTTCAGGTTCATTATATACTTTATAACGGGAAATAAGGGAAAATCTTAATGATTAGTTCCGATTAGAACAAAACATTGGTGTCCTTGAAACAAGCTTAGGTACACAGATGTGCACAGCCTTCCTCTAACATTTCAGAAGTGATGCTCGAGTTCTTTTTAGAAACATTTGGCTTTCCTAAAAATGACATCAGTTCTTCTGAATTTGTCACTCTCAAGAGGAGAGAGATGGATTCTTTTAAGGGTGAAAATGGAAAAACAGAGGACAGAGGGAATAAAGACTTTGGTGTCTCCCTGGATAGGTGTCCTCTCTGCAAACATCAGTTCATGCTGCTGAGAACCGCAGGGCCCGTGCCCTGAAAAATGCCCGGGAGAAGCACGTGGAGCTGCAGAACGCCCTGCAGAAGGCCAAGGACGAGCTGGCTTGCATGCTGTGGGATTACCAGGAGCTGCTGAACGTCAAGCTGACCCTGGACATCGAGATTGCGACCTACAGGACTTTACTGGAGGGCGAAGAGGGCAGGTGGGCATCATTGCAACCATGTGTGGGCAGTGGGCAGCCTTTGGGACACTTCAGCAGGGCAAGAAGGGTGGAAAAAGACAGAAATGCTAGTTATGTGATGGGTAACTATTCAACTTTCTCCCCCGTTAGGATTTCCACTGGAATACCTGTGAGCATGTGTAAGTAATTCCAAATTTTGCTTTTTTTTTTTCCTTACAACTTTTAAAATGCCAATTCGAGTTCTTATAGAGAAGAAAAAAGCCATGTTCTACCTACGAGAATTGTTCTAAGAGCGACTCGGTTCTTGTTTTCCTGTGACAGTGGTCAGCACTCCTTGCAATATCATCTGCGGACCAGAATGTGGAGCTGGTCTTGCTGGTAGACAGTCCAGAAGACTGTGGTTCCTCTGTGGTGCTGGTAGAGCATCCTTTCCTGCAGACTTTAGGGCCTACCAACAAGGATTCACCTCCAGGAGCATGGTCAGCTCCGTAGCCAGGAGGAATGTCCCTGGAGCCCCCAGCTGGAGCTACATATCCAGGAGTGGAGAACTGAGATCCAGAAGTGGGGACTATTTGTGCCAGGGCTCAGTCCCTCAGGATGCTGACGAACGTGATGGTAGGACCAAAGAGATGGATGAAAAGAGCTGCAGAGCTGAGAAGAGCTTGGGAAGCTCAGCTCACTCACAAGGGATGTACAGGCCAAGGATGAGGATTTCAACGGGTCCTCTGTGCCAAATACAGTTACAAAAATGAAAGCTCTGCTCCTCTTTCAGTAGTAAAAATGTCTTCAACACTGGTTTCCACCTGAGGAAGAGGCATGCTAGGAAGGAGAACACTGTAGCATCAGGAAACCACATCAGAGAATCATCACCAGGATCACTTCAAAAAAGGGACACTTCAAACATATTCCTCTTGATATATGCTCTTCCTTTAAAGCTTGTGGTTGTCTTGGGGCACACAGCACATGATCAGCCAATCCCTGCTTGCTCTCCATCACCTTCTTCTTCTGATGAAACTCTTCCTGACTGTGCAGCAAGTTGTGATATTTGGTTCAAAAATCCCTTTCCTAGAGTGCTCCAGGAAGTATTTCTGGAAACGAGCTCTTTAGGACTCTCCATTTCATTAAAATCAAGATGAAGTCATTTTAGGCAAGCCTGTGGAGCTGTACCGGTAAGACAACGTGGTCATGGAGAGCAGGGGCAGGGCTCTAGTGAAGTTCTTTGTTGGATGTCTCAGACCAGTTTGTCATCCATACGTTGGCAGTAAAGACACAAAGGAACCAAAAAACCACATTTCACCTTCTGTAGTCAGCAGCGAGTAATTATGTTGCTCGCATTCCCATTAGTTTCCTTGCTTAGTGTCCTGACACACAAAGTCTGCTTTGACATCTGCATAAATTAGAGCTCTATTACTTGTATCTTGATGACTCAAAAGCCGTAAAAAGTGGCAGGGTTTTTTTGTTGTTTGTTTTTGCTCTACTTCCAATAAAGTGCATGGAATATGAAAGCATCGCCACTTGTTTTTTAGTATTTCCAAAGAATACAGGAATGCCCTGTCCTAAGTTGGACATGGCTTTTTTTTTTTTTTTCCTCCCCATTGTGAGCAGATATATTTGCTCATTAAAAGTTTTAATTAAAATTTAGGCAGAGGTGCCAGGGCTGTCCAGAGAGTGTGGTTCAGAGTCAGTCTTTAGTTGCTGTAAATTACTGAAGCCTTTTAAAGTCAGCTAATTTACTCTGATTTGCACCAAATTTGACTCTTCCCCAGTGCTTCAACAGATGCTTGAGCAGTCACAGAGAAGAAATCTCTGTTTCTTTGCATTTTTATTGCATGCCCGCCACTGAGGTGTGATGCTAAAACGCATTTTATACTGGTTCAAAATCTATTGCAAATAAGAGCATTAGAGCAAAAAACTCCAGAATGTGCTTGTTTGCTCTATTCCAGCATCATTCTGGAGAACCTTCGACTACCTGCTTAGGATTTCAAAACATCAAAATGAGACATTTCATTGTACGTTGGAGTGGGTTAAAAAGGAAGCCAACAAGTCAGTAACATAAATCAACAACAAAGGACAGGAGCATTTTGTGATTAAACTGATGAAAGGCAACTTGCAGAACAAAGAAATGAATCAGATGAAGGGAAAAATCAGGCAGATTTGGGGTTTACAGAAAGGGAAGTGCAGAGGGAAAGCTTTTGCTGTCCAAAGCAATGGTCTTCATTCAGAACTGGAAGAGCTTTCTCTGGTCCCACAAATTCTCATGTGATAAGAACTCATTTCCCAGAGAAATACCAGCGGCACAAAGGAAAGCAGGTGCAAACCTTAATGACAGAAACCACAGGAAAGATTTGACAAGCGTGGAGAAAAGAACAATTGGCCAACCATAAATATTCATTGGGAGAGGTTTAAGTATGTCCTGAAGTTCATGATGTGTCCACCAGAAACGGACAACCTTGTCCCTTTGCCTGCAAGGGAAGACTAAATCAATGAGACGACATTCGGTACTGCTTTCTCACATCCAACCCACCCTCCACTGCCATCATTTCAAGACCTTGATCTGGAAAGTTAATTTTGCAAGTGGTTTCCTTTAAACCTGTGACTGAACATCAGTACTTCATGAATCGGTGGGGCTTTTCATCAGAAACTCAAGAGTACGTCACAAAGGGACACAAATCAAACCAAACCTGGGCCTGGGGACTAGAGATTTAACATAACAAAAGGAAGAACGTACCTCCTGCTAGCTGAAAGTGCTTCCCAAAAGGATCTGACCCAACCTCCATGGGCAATTCCTTCCCTCTCCAGGGCTGAGGAGTCTTTTCTGCACAAGATTAGAAGTCCAACAAAAAATGTTGAGAACTAGTGTGGAGCATCTTTTTGCCCTTTCTTTAACGTCTTTGCCTTGGTAGGCAGTGTGATGCTCTTCCATTCAAGGCCCTGGATTCCCATCCTTCCCACATTGATTTCCACTGTGTAGTTGTGCGGGAGGAAAGCACCACCGTGGAAAAGATCAAAACAATCCTTTGCTTTGTTGCAAGCCTCAGATTTACAGGCAGTAATCACCGCACGGAGATGTGATATGCATACGCCAGGAACTAAGGGAATCTGGGGAGCATGTGATGTTGTGTACTCTCATTAAGACTTCAAAGGTGCTACAGAAATCTGGCGCCCAAAGGGTGGGACTAATTTCACCCAACTTTAACCATCCAGAAGTTGGGCGCCTGGTCTAGTTGTCTGGTTGTCTAGACTGCCTCTGGTAGTCAATAAAAGAAGGAGGTAAGTACCTCCAGAGGTTGATTCCTCCCACCTCCTATTTTAGGATGTGGTGAATCACTGTCTGGAGATGTCTATCTCTTTCCATTAGCCATGGAGGCCGTCTCAAAGATGAAATTAGAATACACGGCTGGTCTGATGGCTCAAGTTGGGATGGAGGTGAAGACGGGCCCAATGTTTGATGAATTTTATGAGGAATATATTTTGAAAATCCCTGTCGCTGCTTCTAATATACAACAGATGTAGGTTAAAGAGAGAAAAAAGAATACATTACCATATTGAATTCCCTTGGAATTCCCTAGCATTAGAATATCCTTGCAGAAGACCCAAGAAGATGAGGATGTGCTAATGAAATCAGGTTTTTAACACCACATAAACAACACAGACAAGAGTCTATACAGTCCATGAAACTGTGTGCACAAAAATACGTATCGCCGCCCAACCTTATATCTGTTAAATGCTGTTCACAGGGATAAGTTATTGCTATTGTCCCTTCTGAATACAATGAATTTTCTATGCCTGTGCCTAATTACAGAGACAGGGAACGGCTCTTTGAGACTATCGCATGGAATATATTTTAAGAGCTAGTTCAGATTCATCTCCAAAGGCAACAAACAGATGAATGAACCTCACATGTTCTCATAACAAATTCCATTTTCAGCAACACATTCAAGGAGAAGACTGCTGACAAAGGCAGAGATTGCAAGTGGATAGAAATGACTCACCTCTCCTCAAAATATTTTCCTTCATTTCTTCCTGAATTCTTCCCTTAAAACAGATGAAAGGATGAAGACATTTTTTTCCTGAGTGAAAAACAGAAAACAGTAGAGATTCAACTCAGAACAACGAAAAATCCAATGTGCCTTGAACCTGAAAGACATTAACTGAATCTTCCATCTAGCTGCCTTCCCACTGGGATCCACTATAAACAACAAGGGTTTGACTAACACAGAAATGTTACTCAATACTGGACAATTTGCTGCAAAAATCTCTTACCTTTCATGGAGCCAGTGGCTCTGCTAGGATGTTTTAGACTGCTGACGTGTAGTTGGTTCGCAGACTATTAATTGTAGACTGTGAGATGTTCCAAGAGCCTTCCACACAGCCTACACGTATAATGGGCTGCAGACAGGGAGCAAAGGCTCACGAGCTTTCAGTCTGACTTTTGATTCAGGACACAATTTTCCTATGCAGAGCATATATTACTTCTCGCTGAGTGAAAGAGCTGGAACAATTGCCTTTTGTATTGGTCTTTAGAGTCAAACACCCAATTCACTTTTGATAATCTCTTTGAAGAATTTAAAGGCTCTGGGAACTTCAAGCCAAACTTTGGCTTCAGCTCTCTAATATTTGCCAAAGTTATGTTTTTACTGATACTGTCGATTGTACTGGCAACCCAGTATGAACTGCGAGTCCAAGATACTATAAACAAATGTGTAATCTGAAACTCATGCTTTAAATATGCTGAATTACCCAACTTGTAGAGAGCAAGAGCATCAGTTAGCGCAACTAATTTGTACCACCATCCCCTCAAACTCACATAAGTTGCAATTACATCTTCAATTAATAGTCTGGTGCACTTCTCTATGGCAGTCACGTCCTATGGCCTGCTAAATTTTGCATTATTTTTGTCATATATGCTCCTCTCTCTCGGAAAATACTTTCATAGGAGGCTAAACAGGAGGAGTGAAGGTGGTCACTGGTTATCTCCAGACACTGTCATGTAAAAGGTGGAACATTCAGACTTCTCTGAGTCCAGTTCCCCCTCAGCCAGGAAGGGCAGAGAGCATTGAGTTGAGTTGAGTGTGAGCTGTAATGTCTCTTTCTCTCATGAGCACTTTGCTCTCAAAGAGCCCTATTGTTTTGAATCTCCAATTGCCAGTTTGAAGAAGGCCCCAAGAAAGAACAGAGACAATTGGCAGATAGGCCTGGTGTCTCACCTCGTTGGGCTGGTGACTTAGGACAGAGCCTCATCTTAACCAAGGTGAGTCACCACCGCAAGTGCCCAGTCTAATCTACTCATTGAGACTTCCTCTGGTGATGGAGAAAAGATCACCACCTATGGAGAATGACTCATCCCAATTCCCCCAGCCTCAGACCCAGAGGTGGTTGGTTGTCTCTCCCTTGAAGGTGCCTCGCCACTGACTGTCAAGGACGTGTCTGGCAAAGATACCCACCTTTTAGCTGTTGTTTGTCGAATTAGATGAATTTTCCTAGCTTGAAATGTGCTCCTGCCCCATTTTTTGTTACCTGTAGAGATTATCAAGTGCCAAATCAAGACATCCTCTGGTAGAAGTTCCAAGACAGCGAGGGCCAAAGCTTGAAGTGTATCCAATGGATCTCTGGTTAAGGATTTGTAATATTATTCAAGCAATAACAACAAGCTGAAATGTACCTCAGTTTCTTGGCAGCAAGAGGAGGTCGCTGTGAAATGCCCCATAGGAGCATTTCTAGGGGAAAGGGAGCCCATTTTGAGTGCTTGCCTTTGAATCCAGACCCATAACACAATGTTGGTTTTTTTTTTTTTTTTTTTGGGGTTACATTTCCGTACTCAAAATGAGCCTGGTGAGAAAAAAAGAGATTGTGAAATTACCCCCACAAAGTGCAAGCCTGCAAAATGTGCCATCACACAAAAAAAACCATGAGACGCAAAACCCCAAACGACACACGGCAAACAAATCACAAAGAGTTTCTTCAAAAATGTTTGCTAAACTATAATTAGTGTAAGTTAGGGGAGCACTTCAAACCATAATATATTCTAAGCCAACTTGCAAACAGAGCACTTTTAGATTCCTTTTTATTTCCTCAGTAGTTAGTATTTGCTGGGCTGTTTTGCATTTGGAGGAGCATTTATTGCTGCCAGGCAAACCAAACCCTTAAGCGCTTTAAATTAACGTCCTGATCCTATCAAGGCCAGCTTCCTAAATATATATAAGGGGCAGCATCAACCGTGTCACTTCAGCGGGATCGCTGCTCCTCTCCTGCAGAAGAACTTCCCCTAAACATTCATATTCCACCTTGAAAAAAACCACCCACGATGAGCAGACAGGCGCCTACAGTGAGATCTGTCCTGGGACGAAGAGGCTTCAGCTCAGCTTCCGAGATCTGCGCTCGAAGCTACGCGGCCTCGGCTTGCCAACCCGCTCGATGCGGAGCTGGCGCCTACAGCAGCAGGAGCGTCTGCAACCTGGGTGGAAACAGAAGGATCTCCTACGTGAACGGGGTCTGCGGGACCGGGTGCTACGGAGATTTTGGCTACGGAGGCTTCGGGAACGTTGGAGGTAGGGTTGGCCTCTGTGGTCCTAGGGGGTTTAGCATCGTGCGAGGCTACCCCGATCGCAAGGCTGAAGGTATCCAGGGCATCTGCATTGACGAAAGGCTCCTAAAGCCCCTCTGTGTTGGGGTCGACCCACTGGAGCATGAGATACGCTGCCAGGAGAAGGAACAGATAAAGACCCTCAACACCCAGTTCGCCTGCTTCATTGACAAGGTGAGTGCCACCCGCTCCCTACTTACCCTTCTTGGGGGAAAAATACAGAAAAAGGTGTCTAGCTCATGGTGGGCATCACATGGTGCTAGAAATAACCAAGTTATTTCAGGTTGAGATCTTCAGTACTGGAGAAACTCCGTTAGGATTTGTTGGTGTTTTCAGGCAATAGCAGTGCTGAACTTTCCTCTAGAAACATCTCTCCGGACAGCCTGAATTCAAGGCTGGATTTCTCCTTGCAGCCTTGTGTTAGCTCAACTACGTTTGTGATTCTGGCAAGCTCATTTTTTTCTGTCCTGTTTTCAATTTGCTTTTCCATCTTTAAATAAAGAAACTGTTCCCAAAACATTTCTAAAGATGGGGGCAATTAATTTAATTCGGATATCTAAATGTTGGACATCTGAGCCATCACCTTAGGATCTCTCGGCAAACAAAAGGGATGAGCAAGTCCCTTTAGCTGGGGACTTAACCTCATCTTGGAATACATCACATGCACCTTCTGGAGCAGCTTTATTTCTTTTCCTTAGTGAGAAAGGGAATTCGCTCAGATTTAGACATCTAACTTCAGATTTTAAATAATAGCTAATGTTGCTATCATTATGGCATATCACTTCTTATTTTCAAAAAAATCCTATTCTTACCTGTGCAGAAGGACTCTCTTTACCTGGATCCAAAGTGAGAACAGTCAAATGAAGCGTTGAACTATTGCTTTTCTCTCTTTACTCCAACAACTGCCCCTTTTGGCCTGCAGGTCCGATTCCTGGAGCAGCAGAACAAGGTGCTAGAGACCAAATGGGGCCTCTTGCAGCAATACGTCCTCCCGAAGAAAGGAAAAAACCTTGAACTCTACTTTGAGAACTACATCTGTGACCTGCGGAAGCGCCTGGACTGCCTGCTGTGCGAGAAGCAGAAACTGGGCAGCGAAGAGTGTGCCACAAGCCAGCTGGTGGAGGAGTTCAAGTGCAAGTAAGGCCTTTACGTCTCCTATGGCTGTCGTCATTTCACTTGTGCATTTTGTCTCGGGGAACGTCTCCCAGACATGGGCAGATCCCCTTTGGGGATGTCAGCTCCTCCTGTCTCACCCGGGAACTCTTTGCATTGTTAATGTTGCTCGTGAAGAAGCTTCTGATCTTTGGATGGTCTGATGTTTGGTCTCCAGACGTTGGTCCTCCAGGGTCTGATGGCAGTCTACAAAGGCTATTGTTTTTTCCAAACAGTGTCTGTGGGGTTAATGTTCGGTTCAGCCCTTTTACTGCTCCTTTTCCAACAGATATGAAGAGGAAATCAACAGGCGCACAACTGTGGAGAATGAGTTTGTGGCACTCAAAAAGGTGAGAAACTAAGAGGAGATGGACAATTACATCTATCATGAGGGTATCTGGCCCAAAGCACAGCTGAAAATATATATTATTGGAAGAGGCCTGCGAAAATGTGTTATAGTGGGTGGAGAACAGGAGGCCTGTGAAGAAACACAGAGTCATGACAAAATCACAGAATCAGTTAAGGGTGGAAGGGATCTCTGGAGATCATCTGGTCCGATCCTCCTGCTCAAACAGAGCAACACACCTAGAGCATGTGGGAGAAGAAGGGAGGAAAGTAAAAGGGTGGAAAGTAAAATTATTGCGTCCCCCAAGCTAGCAGCATCAGCATTGCACCACTGGTTTTGTTCCCTCTGAATTCCTTAAATTCTCATGCAAGGGTCCATTTGGAATGGACCCAGTAGGAAAGGCTATGCTGGAACACTTGGTGTTGGAGATGCTGGCTATCTCCTGACAGCTTCTTCAGATCCTTTCTACCTTGGCAACACAAAGTGAGAACCATCTCAATAACACCTAAAATTTACATTTAAATACTCATTAGGGACTGCTGAGTTTGTAGCTAAATCATAAGTAATAAATAAACTAATTCCTTTAAGTTGTGTTGGAATGGATTTGTTTTCCTTCAGAAGACACGAGGGCATCTTGACTCAGCCTCTCACACCTTTCTGTTCTCGAAACCTTGTTGAAACAGGTTTCATTTTATTGGCAACGCATCTGTCTCCTGCGAGTTTCTCTGACGTTTTTAGTGAGATCGGTCTGGAAGGTGTCTCCTCTCTCTTTCAGGATGCAGACTGCATCTTCTTGAACAAAGAAGAGCTGGAGGTGAAGGTGGATTTGTTAAGAAGGCAGTTGGAGTTGCTGAAATGCGTGTTTGAGGAGGTGAGTTGCTCTAGTCCGTCCCACAAGTCTCATTCAACCTCATCCTTCAGGTGGCCCTAATTTCTCCAGCCTGAAATGTCTCTTGGAGAGAGCCCCGGACACTTGAAAACATGAAACTACAAGATGGATATAAAACTAACATCAGTACGTTGGCTGGATAGGTGGAGAAATTCTCCTTTCTTAAGGCAGCTTCAGACAGAAACTGTCTGTGTCCTAATTCTACCTCTGGAGGACGAGATGAGTCCGTCCAGTTACTCTGGATTGCAATTGTCTGTTTGGAGCCAGAGAAACTCTCAATTTATTCCTGTCATTAACACCAGTCAAACGGCTGAAGATGACAGGATGCTGAAGGTTAAGTCACCCAAATTCCTTGCCCTTGATGTGGACAGCATTGCTGCCGGTCAGCACGTAGGTCAGCGTGCCGTGACATGTGGTAACCCATCCAGGCGGGAGGATTTTCTGCTGAGCCAACCTGAGGGACATTTCTTGACGTGTTCTACCCACCAGCTGAGCGGTGGGGCTCTTTGTTCCGGCCCTTCCTTCGCTGCAAAGTCTGAGACTTGCTAACAGCTGACTAAGCCCTTCCCCAACATGCAGGAACGAGCTCAGGTGGATCGCCAGCTATGCGACACTTCGGTCATTGTGAAAATGGACAACAACCGAGACCTGGACATGGAAAGCATCATTAAGAACGTTGAATGCTGGTACCAAGAGATAGCTCAGAAGAGCAAAGAGGAGGTTGATGCCTTCTACCAGACCAGGGTGAGCAAGGAATGATGTGGGTCTCAGCCAGATCGCTTAACGGGCTGCAGGGTCGAACTGAGGTCTTGTTTCTTGATTGCAGTTTCAGGAGCTTCAGGATAAAAGGGGCAAGTATTGTGATGATCTGCAGAGCAACAAGTGTGAGATTTCAGAGCTCACCCGGATGATACAGAAGCTGCAGTGTGAACTTGAGAACGTGAAGAAGCAGGTAGGTGGCACACAGAGATGCTGCTTGCAGAAAGAGCTATGTCTTACAGGAGGATAACACTTCAGCTCTTAGAGGACTAAAGACCGCTTGAGGCTAAGCCCCAGAAAAAGTCCCAGAGCACAGAAAACGCTCTGGAGAAGACAGAGCGTTTTCTTAGTTTAGAGATGAAAGAGATGGTTAGTCCAAGGGCAGATGGCCCATGAGTAAAGCACTGAAGACACCCACACTGTTGTGTTCTCCTCTGACAGGTCACCTGCCTGCAAACCTCCATTTGCGATGTTGAGCAGCGCGGGGATTGTGCCCTGAAAGATGCCCGGGAGAAGCACGTGGAGCTGCAGAACGCCCTCCAGAAGGCCAAGGACGAGCTGGCTTGCATGCTGCGGGATTACCAGGAGCTGCTGAATGTTAAGCTGGCCCTGGACATCGAGATTGCGACCTACAAGACTTTACTGGAGGGCGAAGAGAGCAGGTGGGTCACAGAGACCTTGCTCTTTCTGCTCTGCATGTCAGAGGCACAGGCCTGAACGATTACAGAGCCCAAGTGAACTTAGGAGGTAGAGGATACCCCCAGACTCAAACTGGTCCTGGAGAGATGGCTGGAGGCCATACAGAACCAGGAAAGAACTCCTCTCCTAGGGAGAGCGAGACAGTTGCAGTGAGGGATTAAGAGCCAAGAGGCCTTGGTACGTGGCTGGCAGATATGCATAATTCCACATTTCTAGATGTGCCACCAACCAACTGTATAACATACCTTTCTCTTCTCTCCTCCAACAGGATATGCGTGGGGAACCCAGTGAGCGTGTGTAAGTAATCAGAAAACTTTCGGCTATTCCCTTTAGAACTGGGGCTCGGGTTAGGGTTAGTGCTTCTAGGCATACTTAAGGAAAGACAGGTTTTGACAGCACTATCCAACTATCCTGGCTCCCTCTGCCATTGACAACCTTTTCCATTTCCACCCTGTTTGACAATTTGGGGAAGCCTGGGGAAGTTTTCAACCCCTAAAATCTCAAGTACCTCCAGGTTTCAAGACAGGCAGCATTTGGGTGGAGAGAGGAAGTTTCAATTCGTTCCCTTTGCTCCTTTTGGAAGCAACCACCAGCTCATCTGGCAATGCCCAGATGTGTATTGGGCTGGGAGAGAAAACGCTGCCAGGGAGATGAGCAGTGTGGGAATCGGGAGGGATGTGTTGGGACACGGCGGAGGAATGGAAGCATCGGGGCTCCAGTTTGTTGGACAGACCTAGAGGAAATCAGGTTTGGTCGGTTCCATCACTCATGCAACAACTTGCTCGTGAGGAGCGTTCCAGCTCTTCTCTCCAAATAACAGAGCCCACGGGTTGTCTTGCAGCTGTGGTCAGCAGTGGCTACAACCTCCCCGAAGAGTGCGGGGTGCTGCCGGGAAGCGGGGCCGCCTGTGGCTACGGCTCCTTGGGGAGACGCTCCGGGCGTCACGGCTCCCACAGCGGAGGCTTCAGCTCCCGCAGCGCCGGGATCCACCAGAGGAGAGTGGTCAGCTCCGCGGCCAAGCAGTGCGTCCCAGAGGTGTTTTGCCAAGCCGGAGGGGTCAGCTGCAAAAGCGGAGGGTTTAGCTCCCAAAGTGGGGGCTACCCGGCCCGTACCGTCATCAGCACGGGGAGCCCAGGCTTGAATGCCAGGATCGGAGCTTGCCAAGCTGCTGGTGTCGTCAGCTTTGGGAACCAAGGCTGTGTCATCAGGCAGCTGGGGACCTCTCCGGTTGTTGTGGCCAACAGCCCCGAGGTTGTGGCGTGCAACAACGGGGTGGTGGGCAACTTCGGGGTCGTCAGAGACCAGTGTGTGGTTCCATAGGCCAACAGCCACAGAGGTGGCACAAGAGTCCAGCGCTTAGACACGGGGTTCCTCCACCTGAAATGATGCAGAATAAAATCACTGCCCACTAAGATACATTTATGAGGAGCCCATTCCCACGCAGCCCATTCCCTCATTAGCATCACATATACACCCCACCAAGGTATGTTTCCAGAATCTCCCACGCTAAAGATCCATCTCTAGCAGCTTCTCCAACAGGTGCTCAACACAGTATCGGTTCTTCAAGTCTACACTGTCCAGATTATCGCAGCTTTAAGGGTTTGCTCGTTGCCCTGCTTTCTCTCTCTGGCTTTTCCTCTAACCAGCAGGTTCATTAAATGGTCTTTCTTACAAGACACCTTTTTCCTGCAGCACCTCCCACTGCATTTCAGAAAAGAGCGCAACGGTTTCGCTTTCCTAGAAGGCATTGCAAAGAGCACGCTGCTTTTCTTGCCCAAGAAGAAACCTTGAGCTGTAAATCTCAGCTCCAATTTTAAGCAAGGCAATTCCAACTTTACACTGCAACCATAGCTTCATAGCTTTTTTTTTTCTCACAAGATGAATACATAGATCTACAGATCTGTTCATCTTACAGATGAATACATAGTTCTTTCACTTGCTGCCGCTTGCTAGGGATGGCTAGTCCAAAGCACGCTGATTTTTAGAAGAGCTCACCCCCACCCCAGAGATACCAAGGAGAGTTTCTTGAAGTTAACGGTGCGTGACACTTCTGAGCTTGGCATCTTGTCTTCAGATAACCAGAGCTTCTCTCGTTGACTTCTCAGACTTTCCAGCTTTTCGCTGTGCCTTCAATAAACTGCATTGAACGTAAACATTTTGTCCCTGAATTTTTCCATCTACAACACTTAATGGAATTGCATAATGGGTGAAGGGCTTTCTCGCAGACTAAATGTCCATGCGAGGACAATCAAATCTTTTAATGCTCCTTAGAAAATGTGGTGGACTCAGATTCCAGGAAAATCCAAAAGTGTTTATTCTGTTTTATTTACATCCTCGTATCACATCTCCTACCTGGTATTTTAGAGCTCAGGATGCTCTTTCCATAAGCAACAGCTGTTATCATAGCTTGCAAGAAAACTCTTTTTTCAGTCATTCTCATTCTGAGAGAACCTGAGAATCATTCTGAGAGAGAATCAATCAGACGAATTCCGACTGAACATAGGCACCTCGGTTAGATGAGATGCACCAAGCTCTAGACTCTACTGGTTGCTTCAACTAGATTCCCTCTGGCTCTACAGGGAGCCTGGGGCGAGAGCATTAGCACAAATGGGACATCACCATGCTAAATGACTGCATGTAGTCAGACGAATCCACCCTGCCTCTCATTCACCGGATTCACAGACACTATTATCACAGGGAATTTCTTCCTGTCTCCAGCACATGAAGAATTACAGGTCACCCAGCACCACTAATATCCCCACTCTCGCAGGGCAAAACGCTAATTGCAACCTGAAGTCCGACAAAAATTAAAGGCCAACACAGGGAAGAAGATAAGCACCTTTGAGAAGAGCCCTAAGGTGTCATTTGTATATTGAGTGGAAACTCTCTCATCCAGTTTTGACCAGCTGCATGTTAGAGGTGAGATGAGCAGTCCACCACTCGAGGTCTCTCTTCTCACTGTTGAGTAGAGGAAGCCTCATTCAAGACTTTATCCAACTTGAAGGTGCCTGAAGCTACGCGAGATGGAGCCCACCTACGTGACAAACCTTCGATCCAATCTGAATGTGTTCACCGCTGTGTTTTTTCCCAAATGTAACTTGAGAAGGACAGTCCAATGCCTAGAGTACCAGTTGAGAAATTAGGGAGCTCCAGTTAATTACCCGCATGTCACCGATTCCCAGGGTAACCTCAAACACGTCACCATGGGCCATGGCCAGGTAGTGTGTGTGGCACAGCTGTCTAGGAATCACTGTGGCTCAAAACTTCATCCTCCCTTGGGGCTACAAGGAGACACAGCCATCCCCTCACTAGCCATAGGGAGATACTAGACTTACTAGACTAGGTTTTTTTTTTTAATTTTCTTCTTTTTTTTTTCTTTTTTAGAGGCTGAGCTGAGGCCACTTTTTGCTGGGTTTTGTTGTTGCTAAAGATGATTGCTTGGGAAAGAGAAGGCGGAGGAACCCACAGCTCGGGAATCCGGGGTTAGTTCTCACCAGCTGCTGACGATTGACTTGACTAGTGAGTCTTGCCCTTGCTTGCACTCCCTCCACGGCCTGGCGAAACAGGAATTTGCTTTGCATGACATTCCCAGCCTCAAAGGGTTGGGAGCGCAGCAAGCCCCAGCTCTTCTGGCGCTTCCTCCTCCTGACCATTAATGCCACGAAGCCAAGGCTTGAGTATCCCAAGATAACAAGACTGTCATGGGATATTGTGGAGAGAAGGGCAATTCACACCACGGTTGTGCCTCTTCCTACAAGGAGGAGCTGCACATGGGCATCTGAAACAGGCTCCTGATCTAACAGGCTCCTAACGTGGGTCCTCCTCCCATCCAAACCAAGAAAAGCAGGAGGTGACTGACTAATCTAAGTGGGAGCATAATCATCTTTTAGCAAAATGAATAATAAATCACATCCAACCATGCTGAGTTCTTACACCTACATAATGGATATTTTCAAAAAGAGAGGCTCCTCTCATTTTTGCTCTGCCCTTTTCCTTCACTCCTTACCTGCAACAGGCCACAGGTGGAGGCTCCGAGATGCAGCTCTAGACAACAGGTCTTTGCTTTCTCCTTTGCTGCTCATCGGGTGCTATGAAGGTTCCAGTTTTGTGCAGCCACTGGTCGCTTTCCTGGTGGAAGAGGACAAGGAATGAGTAGAGGCAGCAAGAAAATCAGCAGCTCTCAGGGAAGAGGAGCTCTCTTTGGGCTTGTAGACATCTCCGGTGGCTTTGACAGTGTACAGTGTACGGGAGGCAGCTGATGCAACACAAGATAGCCTAGCTTTAAACATCTCAGATCTTATAGGATGCCCATGAGTACAAAAACTTCAGTGTTTCTTGTCACCAAAGAATTTGTAAAACAAATTTTCAAATATCATCTGCCTTTCTTTGGCTTCAAATGCCCAATTTGCAAGATATGTATCTATCTTCCAGAAAAAAACAAGTGGTTTTATTTCCCCTTTTTGACCCCTGGACCGTATGAGGTGGCTTAGCTGCCTTTGTGATACATTGCTTTCTATGCTTGAATGAATACACTGTTTACTGTAATTATGACTATGCTATTATTATTGTTATTATTATTACTCCTAGGAGATCATGCTGGCAGCTGAGCGGGTGGCTGCCCACCCAGAGAAATCTGAGGTTGTATTTTCAGCACTGCACCCGCAGTGGATAAACACTTTCCACAGCAAGTGAAAAGCAGCAGTACGCCAGGAAGCTGCCACAAAGCAGAGTGTGGATGGATGCAGGGAACAAAATTAGCCGCTAATTAGCTTCCCCCATTGACGCTCGGCCTCATCCCTCGCAGCCAGACGTGGGACGCAAAAGGAAGCTGCTGCGTGTGATGTGGTTGGTGCTCCCAGTGGGGAACCTACATCCGATCTCTTGGGAAAAGGCCCGCGTCTTGTGGCCCGAATGCATCTCATGGCACGGAGGATGCCCTAGTCCAACGGCTAGGAACAGTATAGGATCATGCTGGTGTTAAGCACCTTCATGATGGTGCTTAATAAAACTTCTTTGGG